GAAGAATTAATCCAAACAGTGGCCTGATTTAAAGGCAGACTTTATAGAGCTCAAGCAATAAAGCACAGCAGTATATGCCCCTTCTCTTCACACTGTGATTCCCCTCCTCTGAGTGGGAATCAGTTGGCATGCACAAGGACGACAGGGCAAAGAGGATAGTGAAGTGGTTAGACATTTCCTCATTTTGAAGGAGAAATCCGTATGCATGGCATCAGTAGCTGTACTGCTGTCTGGGAATCTGGGAAACCACATTGCAATTAAAGTCCAAGGGAAGTACTGTCATCTCAGACACCACCCATGGAAAAACTAAATTGCTTTGCCACTGTTGATAGCCTCTAGGTGTGCACAGTTCCCAGACTATAATGGCCACCTACTTCTCAATACTTTGCAAAGATGTCAGAGAGATGACACAAGAGCGTTGCAGATGTCCAGGGAGTGCTCACCTTCACATGGAAGCTGGAGACTCAGTTCTGACACCCCACATCTGGACAACAAGGCAATCCCATCTCCCTCAGACCCAGCAGTGTTGCTGTACAAGTGCAGTCACGTACGTTGACTTGCTTTTCATTCCATTTTTCAGAGATGCTCCCTGTCATCTGCATCCTCAGGCTTTGAAGGATGTCATGGTGCCTGTAGTTCATAAAAGTCATACCAGTGTCTTCCCAAAGTGTTTGGGCTTCTGTGATAAAAAGATGTAAGACCCGGTCCAGGATTACTGCATTCTGTGAGGTCTTGGTACAGTGTGTACCTGCCTGGGAAGCAGTAGTTATATCTATCCACCGAGATTTTGTTTTGTGGTGGATTATGACTATTACTTCTGTTTGGAAGTCACTGCAGAAACATGAACAGTCTGGAGACTGATTTTTAGAAAGTCTGCTTCGCTCAGCACAAGGGAATCTGTGATAGACCTTAGTGCCATATCTGAGAAGTAAAAGCCATGAAAGTAGTTTTGGTGTAGGCTATAATAGAGAAGGAGAATAACAACAGAGGTGGCGTTGCCTGGATGGTGATGAACTTGGAATCATCCCTAAATGTATCTCCACAAAAAAAGGTGACTCTTTGCAACAGGGACTACATTGTGATTGGGATAACTAGATTATTTCATTTTTCTGTTAGATCCTGGGTCAAACATTTTAAAGGGTATAGATGTGCTGAAAAACAGTGAAAACAGATTCCTGTGATAGTAAAAGAGCTTTGTGCTTTTGTCCATGTTTAAAAAAATGAAGATCTTTTTCTGATGCTATTTTGACATTTCAACTAGCTATTTCTTGAAAGCCACCATTATGTTATGTAGGTAAGTACTAAACTGAGCCAGACTTCTTTTAAGCCTGAAACTACTTTTTGAATGTAAACATAGTCTCTCTAGAAAATAAATATAATAAGTAGATGTAAAACAGTATAGTTGAAGTTTGCCCTCTCATTTGCATTTATAGGTATAAAGATGTTTTCATCCTCTGTGGTTATTAATTCAGTTCTCTTTTCTATGCAAAAGTATTGTGTTTTAGAGCATGTAAATCAGTAATATAAATAATTTCTTGAGTACATTCTGAGCCCCATGCTGACACCTGCAGAGCGTGTCTTTTCTTCTTCTCTATTCCTTGAGCTTTAAATAACTTAGAAGGGTACATGGTAATAACATTGACTCAGAACTTTTATGAGCATGAAAAATACAACATAGATATGCCTCTAGCACAACTTTTCATGTGCTTTATTTTGCAGAATGTTGTTAGCATCCTTTTTTTATTTTTAAGTGTCATTTATTATTCAGCTCATTCACTGTTACCTGTCTTTATCTTTTCTTGCTTCCTTTGCCACCTGGATTCTGTGGCATTGGATTGAAGGATCTATAATATCTGAAATTTCTGAAGACCTGGTCACTGTAATCCCTGGCAGCAAAATTATGAGCTCTTTCTTTCTCTTTTGTTGTCATCTTTATTTTTATGTTTGTCTCCTGAAATGAAGGAGGTATTGTATTAGGTTCTTGATTTTGTAAAAGTAAACATAAGTAAGAAATAGTGTGAGAATAACTAGCATGAGAATATGTTCATATAAAATACAAGCTTCTCTTGCCTGCCTAGGTATTTTAAAGCTACATGATCAGATCAGTTAATTATGATTTTATCATTTACATAAGTTTTTTTCTTTGCACATCTGGGTCCTAAGCAAAAGCAGAAGTGTCAGCAGACTACAAGAGAGACTGATCACGCACAGTTGTTGATCTGGCCAAGAAACAGGAACAAGACCTTTTGGTCACTTTTCTTATTCATAAGAGTCCAAATCTAAATTGCTGAGCAGTTCTAATAGATGTCTTTGCTTGTACTGTTGTATGCAACCATTTCTCACTGCTAGTAAGAAAAACAATATTGCCAATGTGATAAACTTTATGCCTTGAACATAGTTCATATTCACGTACAAAACTTATTGAGACTTGGCAAAGGTGTGTGCAGCTATTGCCTAATTCTGTGTAATCTGTATCCCAACTTGGAGCTTCAGTTTCTATCCACCAACGAGGTGTTTTCCAAGCTTCTTTAATGCCTGACTTACATTTACTGCATTCACATCTGAAAATAACTTCTACCGTTTCCTGTCTAGTGAAGAAGACGCAAGACAAGACTTATGTTTCTCAGAAAAACAAATAGCTGTATTTCAAGAATCCACAGTTCATGGTCAGGAAAATTTTGAGCAATTCCACTCAGCAAGTTCTATAGGTGAGGGGCAAGGATTGAGGGCATGAGAACTAGATAATGTGCTGTCTCACAAGATGTAAGCCTGTGTTGCAGAGCTGTGGTGTGGGTAGCAAGAAGGCTACCAGTGGGATCCAGCTACTGTGGTTCCTTGGGAGCAGGATGCCTGTAGGCTCTTCTCCATCTTCTTTAAAAATAACTTACTCCAATCTCTGTTTGAAATATGTTCATCTTTTCCCCTTTCTTTGGTTAGTTGTGCTAAAGATGGACAACTAGCTTTTCCTGACAGGTAGGACCATAGTGCTAATAGTCAGGGGCATTGCCACTCAGAAAGGGAGGAAAAAGAAATAGCAACTCTCCAGAGTGCCACTGAGGAATCTTTTGTTTATACTGTTGTGAGTGTGTGTCATTGGTCCTCAGTCAGACATCTAAGCAGTAATTCATACTGGAATGTTTCTAGCCAGTAAAGTAAACTCACAGGTGTAAGCAGGCCCAAACTTCACCCAAAAAGTTCTCAGTGTTTTATTTCTTTTGTGCATAAGGAAGTAAAATGCAAGTCTCAATTCTCAGGTGGTCCTGAAATTATGCAGCTTGAGCTAGAAAAGCTACATTCCTTGTTTTTCTTCACCTCTCTGTTAAACCTGCCAAGCCCTGTTGATATTGATAAGGATTAGTTTTTTGTTCTTTCTTGGATGAATTGAATCTCCTATTTGTCAGTTTAGAAATTCCACAAACTCAGAGGCTAAGGGCATTCTCAGAAGGCATCTTTCCAGATGGTGTTTGCAGTACAGTGCATGTGGCCATCTGACCCAAGTTTTGCCTCAATATGCTGTGTGTTTACCATGGGCTCTCTCTCCCTTTAATTTTCCCCAAATCAGTTTAGAGCATCTCATTTACTAAGTCAGTGGGTTTGCATATGAACAGCTAATCACCAGCTACGCTGAGTTCTAAAGCTGGAAAGCAAGGTGCCATTGAGCCAATGTCTACCTGCAATGCTTAATTAATTTCTCAGTGATGTTTCTAGCTTCTGAATATTTTGCTGCTGGTTTAACACAGAGGGAGATGTTTGATATATAATGTTAGAGGTATGCCACCAACAGCCCAGATTCAGATTTTTCCAAATGTGCCACTGCACTACTTACAGGATGTGTTGTGTATGTAGTACCATCTGCCACCATTGATGCTGTATTCTGTAGAATGAATGCCAGACCCATTTGGAAGTCTTTACTATGGCATCCAGCTCATCTGCTCTTGCTCACTTCAGCAGGTGTGAAAAGACCTGGACTGCCCTGCTGTGAAGCTTAGAAACTGTGGAAATCACAGCCAAAAATGCCCATTTGGACACCATGCCAGCTGATTCACTCAGAGCCAGTTCATTAGAGTCTGCATGTTGTGCTTTGCCAACGAGCTGATCTCCCACATCTGATGCCAGCTATGCCTTTCCTTCAAACAGCTGACATGTGTGCAAAGGCATCCATTCCAACTCATACGTTGATTCAGCTTTTGCTCTAGTGTCACATTAATAGGTATCAAAGGCTCACTCTTTTCTCACTTTTGACCGTGTAGATGTTGCCTCTTACTGCCTGGCAGGTCTCCAGAAGAGTCAGAGGTCTGAAAGCTCCTGCACAGTAGGAGCTTTAGGGCTTTAACTCTCAAATTTTGAACTGTCAAAATAGCACAGTGAAGTTGCTCCAACTTACCTGTATTAGAAATTTCACACAGTGCTTTACAGTAGAGTTGGCATTAGGGTCATAAAGTGCTTCACATATGGAATCTCAGTAAGAGGAGTTGTTTTCCCTGCTATAGGTTGAGTGCTTTAAATATCCACTGGCATTCCAAAGTTATTAAAAAAAAAGAGAAGTTTAGTGCTGATCAGTTTTCTCAAGGGAAATTACTTAAGTGGGTCTGAAAGGTATTCTAATGATATTTAAGGCAGAGCAATCTTCACTGTAATTTCAGTAGTCTCACTTCATAGGCACTTGAAAGTATAAAATGTCCAACAGGTTATTTAATCTTGATTGTCATCTGACATTAAGACCATGTATGTACTGAGATACAGATATCTAGCTTGAAGGCATCAACCTTCTACACCATAAACCTTTGTCAGCAGCCTCTTTCACCAGTGTTGGTTCTGGTGAACTTGTGGGTATGAACTTAGTCCCTGCCCAGCTGCCTCCCTGGGCATCACTTTGTGTCGCATCCAAAGAAGTTCTTTGCAGTCCTACTCAATTCTTCTTTTTCTTTCTGGTGTCTGTGAGGTGAAAATCCTCACAATTCATCTTGTGGTTTCCACTGTCTGACATTACGGAAACGAACATGGGACTCAGCGAGTCCTTTCCCAAACTTGGGGTGAGAGTGAGCTGGTAGTCCGACTTGAGCTTGTCCCCAGAAATGCTGTTGTCTGGTAGGCCCCAGCAATCGTTTGCTGAACTACTGTAAACCTAGACATCAGTCTTGAACATCCATAGTTAAAATGAGGTAATGATTCACAAATACCTGCATATCAGTTTACACATCTTATCAATGTTTGTGTCATACACCTAGGAATTCAACAGATACAGGAGTGATCATAGGCAAGTGCAGTGATTTTGGGACTGGAGAGAGAAAAGAACCACATCTAGATTTTTTGGTCTCTCTCATAGTTTTGCAATGTAGTCAAAGTCACTGCTCTTTTTGTAACTTTGGAGACAGGCAGGTGAACTGCACTGTTTACCAAAACTCAGTACTGAAACTTAATATAATGGATACCCAGAATTTTGTTTCACCCACCCCAAAATTCCTAGCGTAAGCTAGGAATAATAGCAACACTTCAGTCCTTTCCACCCCTAAATCTGACTTGTCTACCAGGACAGGCTTACACTGTGAGATAGCAACAGCAAGCAAAATCTGGCAGTTGTTTTATGCTGAGAAATGGATATGAATATTCTATGTTATCAGTGCAAGAAAGTAAGTAATGTTATCAGGTATTCCTGTGTAAAATACAAATTTAATTCCTAGCCTCTTGGCTTAGGTGTTGGCTTTGAACTGTTAAAAACCAGAGGGCCATTTTTTAACACACATGGATGCTAGACACTGTGCTGAATACTTTCTTGTGTCCAAAAATTCATTGTTAATGTAGCTTTAATAAACTCGTTCCTTCAGCATTCTCACCTCTACTGGTTATTGAGATGAGACCCAGCTCCTACATGTAATATATATGTGTATTTTACTTATGCTCTTTACCAACAAAGAGCTAGCTCTTCTTCTTCTTCCCAAGAAAACTAGAAGACTATATTCATATAATACGGATTCTGAGACTAGCCTGATGTAGAAGGAATTTTTTTCTTTTCATACAATGAGGGAGAGAAAGTCATAAAATGAGAAAACTACATGAAATTTATTTTATATATGGGGATAAATACATAGAAATGGACTCAGTTACATTAAATGTAACAAACATGTTAGAAAAGTGGTTTCCTAAGGTATTTTAATTAATAAAAACCCTAATTATTACTGAACTTTAATTGGAAAGCCTGTAGAAACTTGGGAAGAGGCAAGGAAAAACTTATTTTTGAAAAGAGTGTCTGGCAGATGAGAATGTGATTACTGGTGATGTCTGCTTATTGCAGCTATTCTTGCTGTGTTTTTGCTGCTGCTTGGAATATGAGAGTTACTTGCTGAAAAGTTGTTAGTCTTAACCTTAATCTCTTACATGATATCTTAGGGGAGTGTGATCTTTGTACTGCAGATAATAAAGGTATTAGCTTACCTCTTTAAAATTACAGATACATATGTGAGAGCTAAAACAGAGATATTTTGGACTTAACTTTTGCAAAAAGAAAAGCCAGTAGTTCCAATATTAAATAACATATACTAAGTATTACAGGCTTCCACATAGGGATTTTTCTAAAGGGATTACATGAGTATAAGGGAGGGAGAACTGACTTTTTGGTGGTTAGAAAACAAAGAAATGAAACAAGAATTGGGAATTTTGTTAACTTTTGGATAATGTTTGTGATGTTTAATCTCATATGTTCTCTTTGTTCTAGCTACAAATGTCATGGCTCATCCATGGTGTCTTGCTGGGAAATATATCCCTGGTGCTGGTTGAGAACAAGACAGGAAAGGAACAGAGCCGGATGTTCTGGCATTCAAATAACAGCGAAGGTTTGGGAATATGGCAATGGATGATTTTACCTCTCCCAGATGTACTGGATAGGTATGAGTCTTCTCATCATTCTCCTTCATGGTGATCTGTCATTTCATCACTAGCTACCTGGCAATGAAAATGGCCAGCATCACTCCAGGAAGTGGCTCCCTCAGGGAGAGGAAAGCACTTTGTCCCCAGGAGGTATCTTCAGTTACAAGCGGTGGATGAGAATAACTGAGTAGTTAGAGCAAAGCACCCAATTTTACAACTCCTGAGTGGTGGTCTTGGTTCACAAATTGGATCACTGGGAAGTGTACAGCAAGGTGCTTAAAATTCTGTGTCTCCATTTCATTGACTGGAAATAATCATTCTCCTGACATACTGTTTCATGGAGCATGTTTGATCTTCTTACGTGGTTTGCTAGACTTGGATGTGAGCTCCATAGATGATTTTTTTTTTTTTTCCTGGGTATCAGGGTCGCCACTGTTCAATGAGTCTAGATCTGAGGATTGAAAGAGGTGGGAGAAGAACCTGCTGAAAATCAAAGATGCATCTGAACACCTTTGTGTTAGCTGTAGCAAGAGGCTCAGCTTAATAAGGGGCTGTCTCAGTTATGACTGTATTCTGGCTTTAAGCATAAAAGGTTTATCTGGTAGCATACACTTAATCTGGTAGCATATGCTTATTTAAAGAGTGTTGTTTTAGCTGTTTCTTACAAGTCAGCTTTAAGGGAATACTCTGTTGTTCATTGTTTACTTTTTGTGTGTGCTCTGGCTTATGCTGTTTATAGAGAGAACACAGACCTACTTTGCCTCCAGCTGCCCTGGCCCTTAGGCTGTAAGATGCATCTACAATCTGTGCCATGAGCACTGGTGTCCTTTGTCTTTTTGAAAATCTGTGCCCTATAAATAATGAATTTCATTAAGGGTTAGTTTGCCTTATAAGAAGTTTGAACAAATATTGTATGAATATGTCTTTTATCTTGCTGGCTCTTGGGTATGCGTGTACCCTGCAAATACAACAAGGACACTGCCGACCCTTCATTCCTGAATGTATAATTAATATGTGTATGTCAAAGATTTAAAAAATATCAACATTAGCCTTATTGTGCAATCACTGCTGAAGCACCATTTATAAAAATACCTGGTTGCTTCATTCCCTTCAGCTGTGTTTCCTTTGAAGACTGGTATATTTTCCCATTATTATTTATGTGATTTATTTTCTAATGTTGCCAGGGGAATGTTTTGTACCTGAACTATTTTGTACTCTTATACTGTTGGTTTCCTTTAAATTCTCTCTGGTTGCACAGTCAGGCAGAGAATACTTTGATCTTAGGAGTCAGGCTAGCAGCGGTTCATGTGGAATCACAGATCCAACTGATACACAGTGCTGACTATTACGTATCAGGTGTTGACACCTTTACTTTCCCGTTACTTATGGAGAAAGACAATTGGGTTCACTGAGGGAAGGGAGTTTGTTGGAAGTTAAGAAATAATCAAGGAAAACGTTGAAGTTTTGGTGTCTCTTGAAAGGTTTTGTCCTTACTTATTCACCGAAAGTGCATTAATTTAATGATTTTTTTTCTAAGATTAATTTGGTTGAAACCAGCTCTTCCTGGGGAGGAAGAGATCTCCTGTGAGACTTAGAAATACTGCAGGCATCCTTCTTCCCAACTTGAAACCTTATGAAATCCGGACTGATGTACAAATTAGGAAGGAACTCTATGGAAGTGTACACTGAAATGGTACTGGAGAGACTGCAGTATATATACTTTGGAGATAAATGACAGTTTTATTGAACTGTAGAAGTATTTAATTGATACGAATGCAATGCTGGTGCTGCTGAAAGCTTGCTGTGTCTGTCTTTTTCTAATTGGTTCCTGTGTCAGTAGCTGTGAGGGTCTGCATTAGAAGAAACATGATATTGCAGGTATTCCTACAGAAGGAGCTGAAAGTTTAAATCACCTCACAGAAGTAAAGCTCTTGAATAAAGCACACCAGTGTACCAGTTCCACACAAAATTAAAGCACATTCCACTGTGATTGGGAAGCTGAATAGAAAGTGTTATTAATAACAAGATAATATGCTCTAAAACGGCTCAAAAGCATGCTTGTTCAAAAGCTGCTTAGCCATAATTTCCATGTTTGGCTTATAGCACTTCAAAGAATCATTAGGAAGACTTCCAAGAAATTAGATGAGCTCTATCTTTAGAAACAGACATTTCTTAAATCCCTCAGGCTGTTGGGAGAAATTATATTTTGGCAGAAAATCATAGCTAGAACACTTCAGGTGATTTGGCAGGAACAGAAAGTAGGGAGGACTATGACAAAGAAGCTAAACTGGGGCTGAGGGATGTTAAATTTCTAGCACTGTATTAGCCTGGGCAGCCCTGGACACATGCTTAATTTCCAAGAGTATGATGAGGAGAGGATTGTTGTCTTTCCTCCTATTTGATCCTTAGGAAAGCATCCAGTTGAAATTGCATCATGTGTGAGGTCTTACCTTGTCTGTGTGGACTTTAAAGAGGCTGAAGTCCTGGCTTTTTACATCTCCCCAAAGTTAGCTATCCATCCTTGTTCTGGAAGGTGTTGGCAAAACAGTCTTGAGAATTGGCTCATGTGGTGTGGAGGTTAATAGAGCTGTAACCCAATTCCAAATGCTCAGTATCTTCTGTGTGTAGGGGAGGAAGGGCAAAGGGCCTAGTGAAGGATATGTCACCAAAGCAGCTACAATCAAAGAAGCCGGTTTTGGGCAAGAGTTCCTTGAACTGTTGGATGAATGGATTGTACTTACCAGAGGCAAAAGGCAAAGTCTCCAGAGGTGCTGTATTTTAACTTTCCACTTAAATACAGTCAACATGAACTAATGATCCTTAGTATATTTCATTTGTCCCCCGTGGAGCCACCTACCCGTCCCTGAAGGACATGTTATCTGCAAATCAGATAATCTGCACAGATTAGTGAAAGCTAGACAATTGGTCATTTTTGCTTACTGGACTTCACACATTAATGCAGTGCTAAAGTATTTGGTAGTGTAGACAACTGTGTTATTGTAAAATTGTTTTATTTGATGGAAAATTACTATTTGCTTTCCAGTGACAAATGATGAGTCTATTAAGAATTGTTCTTTAATTTCACAGAAATGCAAGCAGGAACCAGAGTCTTGAAAGCTCTGTTTAGTTGGTAGTTTGGGTTTGCTTTTTAGTTAGTAAGTAAATGTGAGTTTAATTTTTAATAATGATATAGTCATGGGAATATGACAGCAAGAGCAAACAGAAGCCTGATGTAATTGAAGATGAGTGATTTCTGTAGCTAATAATTAGACATTCTGTTAGTTTAACAGTATGGTTAAGGTATAGCACATAGATAAAAACCAAGCACATATAACAAAGTGACTGTCTGGAGCTTGCTGTAGGCTGATGCTTATTATCTAGCAACTGTTTTGCTAGGCAGTGTAGAAGGTGAAAAAGGAATAGCTCTAATAGGCTGAAGCCTGTCTGGAAAAATAAGGCTTTAAGAAACAAGTTCTAATTCTCCTTGTTTCCACTCTCTTGGGGAAGCTGAGGCCAGCCGTGTGGAGTGACGTGTAGGCTAAATGTTCTGTGGGTCCATCTGCCACCTGGATGGAGTTGCCTGGAAGTGGACTCCACATGAGTCAGTCCAGACCAGCTCTGGTCTTTTAAGGCCTATGTTCTCTACTACATGTCCTTTTCATTAAAGATTTTACTGTAACTTCTGTCAAAGGAACATTTTATAAATGGCAAGTATTAATAGCAACCTGTCCAACTTCAGTACAGTCTTCTGATAGAAGAAGATTGTATAGAAATATAAAAGGAATGTAAATGTGTTTACTGGTTAGAAAGGTTTTGTTGGCTTCCTTCCTCCTTAAGTTTATTTTTTGTCATTACAAAGTCTAAATTTGTAGCCAGTCTTTAAGTAGTAGGGGCCAGATGGTGGATGGAGGAGTGAAAGGAGGAGTCTAGTTGAGGTCCCTAGAAACTAAATTTTTAGTCATAAGTGGCAGCACCATTTGCCTTGTCACTGATAGCAAGACTGGGCTCTGTGTCTTTTTAACAAGGCAGCACATTCAGAAAGTAAAAAACAATTTTGTTTTGGTCCCATTGTGCTTAGAGAACTTCAAAATTACTTTCTTGCCGATGACCTTCTCCTGGACATGGACTGAGGAATTTTGCTATGTTGGAAGAGAAAAACGTGAGAAGAGAAAAACCTTACTTGGAAGGCTAGGTATGGATGTGACCTTCCTGAGGAAAAAAGCAAAAAAAGTCTACAAGCTTAAGTTACACCAGAAGGTGATATTCTGTTGCAACAAGTGAAGATTCATGTCCAGATGATTATACTTTCTTCCTTTAAATGAGCTTCTTTAACTGTTCCAGTCTTTCTGGCTTGCTGGATTTTTATGAACTGCACTGGTGCTCATCAGTTTTTCATCTACATTTCAAAGTGGGATTCCCTTTCAGTCCTCGGGAGTGAGACCCTTCATTTGGTCTGGCTTTTTCAGCAGCTCTTATCTCAATGGCAGCCAAGACAGCTGCAGAACCTCTCACTGTTGTAGTAAAAAGAGCAGTAAATAGAAGTTGTCTCATACTCATACCACTCTGCTGTATTTCTACTAGCTGTGACTAAGAACTCTTATTGTCTAATATTTTTTCTTGCATTGCTCTGTCTCTTCCTCACACTGCTTTCAGATTTTCTTCTAAGTTTCTGGGCATCAGGTTTCCCATCAATGAAGAAAGAAAAGAAAAGTTCTTGGCAACATTTTGAACCCAGAGACCTGTTTGTCTCCTGTTATTTTTGAACTTTCTTCCCATTCTGCTATGAAGAAACAGACCCTCCATACAAGTTGGACATATGTCTCCCTACACATTACCACATATGTATGCATTGGTCACATATACACCCAGATCTCTTTGTTCTTTCTTCTTATATCCATCCAGCAAGCCCAGCCTCTGTTGCTCCAATGTGGTCCTACATTACTTTGTTAACAGAGTGAGACTTTAATGCCCGTATCACTGCTTTTCAGCTCTGTAGCATTAACTATGTTTGCTACTGT